TGTGTGTGTGTGTGTGTGTGTGTGTGTGTCATCTCATTTCCTCACTGTGTTGTTTTGTGTATTTGTTGTGAGTCAGTCTCCAGAGCTGCTGAGCTGCCGTCACCACCAGCAACACAACCAGCAACACAACCAGCAACACAACTCCACCAGCAGCACAACCTCCTCGGGGCGGGTTTGAAGATGTAGCCACGAGAGAAGAGCGTCATCTCCCTCATCTGTGCTCAGTGACGCCTCCTCTTCAGCGCCTCCCTCTGCTGTCCTCGCTCTGGAGCCCGTTGGTCAGACCGCCCCTGGTTGACGCCCCCCCCGCCGCGCTCCAACATGCTCTTCTCCCTGAGGGAGCTGGTCCAGTGGCTCGGCTTCGCCACCTTCGAACTCTTCCTCCACTTGTTGGCTCTGCTCGTCTTCAGCATGCTGGTGGCCCTGCGAGCCGACATGTTCGTGACCTCGCTGAGCTGGTGGCTGGTCTTCGTCCCGCTGTTTGCCGCCGACGGCCTCAGCACCTACTTCACGGCCATCGTGTCCATCCGGCTGTACCTGGAGAACGAGAAGCGCCTGGCGGTGCTGCGGCTCCTGTGGGTGCTGACGGTGCTCAGCCTGAAGCTGGTGTGCGAGGTGCTGCTGTGTCAGAAGCTGGCCGGGCAGGAACAAGCCAGAGACCTGTGGTTCGGCCTCATCGTCTCTCCGCTCTTCATCCTGCTGCAGCTGCTCATGATCCGAGCGTGTCGCGTCAACTGAGGAGCGGCCGTTAGTGGTCGTGCTTTCACGTCGCCAGTCAGAGAGCAGTCCTCGTCTGCCTTTTGAGATTTAAAGCATAACAATGGTGTAATTTTCCCTTTGGTTCGTCTGCACCTTAAAGACACAGCAACACTTCTATTGTTTTTCACATACGTGTTCCAGGTCACACCAGAATTCAGAATTCTGTCATTTGTGTTTCCAACAGCGACAAAGTTAATGATGCTAACTTGAGTTTAAATTGTATTTTTAAAGACGGAGCAGAATGGAGACATTTTGACTTGAGTTGTTGTTGATACTTTGCAGAGCACAAAGATTCGGAGAAGATGTCGGAGCAGTAACGGTGCATTTGGACTGTGGTAGTGCCTAAACCATGACTATGGTGCAGTCAAAGGTCGACAGTGAGCCATGAGTGAAATTTATACCTGATATTATGTAGTAATGCTAATGTGCACAGACCACAAATTAAATAAACAGGAGGAACCTCAAGGCAGTAATGACCGAGGCATTCAGGCAACTTAGTGGGTCGACGAGCTGCTGCAGCATTGATGTTTCTGTTCCGAGAGGAAACAAGTGACTGCCTCTGAAATTTGGTTTTACGTCTCACTCTGTTGCAGGAAGCGTTCCTCGTGCACTGTGCTCCCTTATTGCCTAGTTTGTCAGCTCCATCAAGACAAGACCCCGATGTATAGGAGCTGACTGTGATTACTTCTAGCAGTCAACTGTGTGCACACGTCTTCCCTGGATCTTGCTGTTTATTTTGTACAACATGTAACGTTTTCACCTTGTGAATGTGACGCTCATATTTTGTATTATATTATGTATTTGTGCCTCGTTTTAAAAGTCCAGTGTGTAGAATTTAGTGACGTCTAGTGGTGAAGTTGCATGTTGCGGCTGAATACCCCTCACCTCACCCTCCTCTTCCAAACATGCAGGAGAACCTGTGGTAGCTTCAGTTGTCATGAAAATTCAAAAAGGTTTAGCTTGTCCAGTTTGGACTTCTGTAAAAAAAACATGGCGGCCTCCTCAAAGAGGACCCATAAATATTAAATATAAAGTATTTAATTATAAAGGGCCCATTCAAGGGTAAAGAAAACAACAATTTGGATGATTTAGATGAAACACTAATGGAAACATTTCTACGATTATTTAATATTCAATTTCTGCCAATAGAACCTTTCACCTAAATTTTACACACTGAACTTCTAAGATATTTCTGGATGTGGAATTCTGTGTATTATGTATATGTAGAATTTAGTTTGGAAGGAATTCACCATATCTTTTATTTATGTTGTTATGGCATCGATGTTGTCCAACTGTATATACATGTAAATAAATCATCAACATTTTATCACTGTTGTCTAATTCTATCATCAGTGGGTAATAGTGATGGTCTGTTGCTGCAGCTTCTGCCACAAGGAGGCTCTGTTTCTTTCATGGGAACTAAAAACCATAATGTAAACCACATACTGGTGTTTTTGTTTTCTGTGACTTGGCAGGAAACAGCTTGTAAATTATACTGTCTTCCTTTATATCGATAATGTTTGTGTTTTACAGTCAGGATGATGTGAAAGTCCTCTTGTAGAAATCCTGTGCACACTGCGCTAAAACAGTTAAAAGTTACATTTTGAAATTCAATACATCGATAAATAACATGAGCCTTTAAATATAATTAGCAGAATATACATTCCTTATGACATTTAAACCTTGCCCTTGAATCCCAGAAATATCATGATGGGCCCTTGTATCCTCCAGAAGCTCCCAAAACAGATTACATTTAAATTTCCACCTCTCGAGCCTGGTTTTAAAATGAAATGATGCACATTCGACTGGTTTACTTGTGCACTTCTTTATTTCTCTTCCTCTGCACTCTTCAGTCAGTGCAGTTCTTAATTATGGCCTGGTGATAAATGTTTGATGAGGAACAGTAATCTCCTGTAGTACCCAAGAATAGCCCTCTAAGTGCTGATTCATGTGCAGCAGGCTCCTCCTCAGCTCGTGTGTTTGCAGCAGCAGGATTAGCAGCAGGTGGCATCGCCATCGACAATTGCTGAGTGAGCCACGGTCAGTCGGTGAGCCACGGTCACATCCAACAACAAATGTGAGGCCTTGTTTGAACATGCGGTGGTCCTGGCCAGGTGTAATCTGGATGTGAACCTAAAGTGGCTAATGTGGTAAATGGTGAATATGGCACGAATAGCACAACAAATATTATACTTACTTATTATCTGGCAGACATTGAACACAGTATGTGGGTCAGATCTGGGCCAAAACTATTTTATTATGTGGATGTGAGTTTGAAAGGAAAACAATGGATTTGAAAATATAAGTAAATGGGTATACGTACTACTTATAACAGTAATAAAAACATTTAAACCTTTCGCAATGACAAGTTTGATTCTTCAGAATGAGACGAAACAATACTCACAAGAAATCTACATTTAATCATTTGATGAGAGGTGAATATAAATTATTTGAAATTGGCGGATTGTAATTGAACATATCACGTTTGATTGACAGGCCGTCCTCCACCCGGTCAACAATAGAAACGGGAGTGGCACATAGAGAGAAGGCGTGTCCGCGAGCCGCAGCGTCCAATCAGGAAGCGCGGTGGGATGGGCCGGGCGGGCTCGTGCTGCAGCGGAGAGGCGGAGCCGCGTTCAGGGGCCGTGCGGACAGAGGAAGCGGAGTCAGAGGAGAGAGACGGCGGGGATGAGTGCGAGGTAGCGGCGCTGCAGGTACAGTCACAGCCGGAGACGAGATCCACAGCCGCGGCGACACCGCCTCGGAGCCCCGGAGTCCTCCCCATCCCCCTTCCAGCAACCGTTTGCGATGTCCGGTGGGGGAGACGTTCGCGTCCTCCGCCAAGAGGCCGGACAGGAGAGCCCGAGGATGCCGGCCTGGAAGCGAGAGATCCTGGAGAGGAGGAAGGCGAAGGGCTCTGGAGCAGCCGGTGCCGCGGAGACGAGCCCCGGCGGCGGCGCGGGCCCGCAGCGGGTCAACGGAGAGGCGACCGGGAGCGTGAACGGCAGCGGCGGTGGAGGAGATGGAGGCGTTGGAGCCCAGAGAGACGGAGGACCGAGCGGAGGGTCCGGGCGGAATTACACCATCACCACCGCCAGCCAACACTTCGTCAACAACAAAGAGACACGACCGGCGGCCGCGGAGACGACGACATCCAGGGAGGAGAGCCTGGTGCTGCAGGAAAGCCTGGGCCCGCTGGAGGAGAACCCGTTCATCAAGCTGGAGAAGGAGCGGAGGAGGCGGCAGGACCGGGACAACGCAGCCCGCCCGGTGCAGCACATCCTGGAGCTGTACGGCAGCGTGCCCGGCATACGGACCATCCGCGCCGAGAACATCATCATCATCGAATCGGATCCGGATTACTTCCCGGAAGCCGGGGCGGTGAAACCCGGGTCCAAGTGGCAGCAGAACGGCGTGAGTAGCTACAGCTCCCTGAACGACCTCCTGGACCAGAGAGGGAGCGCGGTGACCGAGATAAGAGCCAAGGAGGTGGTGATCTATGACACCACGCTGAGCAAGAGTGAGGAGAACCTGAGCACCCTGGGCCGCCCCGACCACGTGACCCCACCGTACGACTCAGGTGAGGGTCCGGGCAGGGTGAGCCGGATGCTGCAGAAGTTCGACAGCAACTACGGGAAGCTGCAGAAGAAGTCCCACAGCACGGAGAACCTGCTGGAGCTGGACTGCGGTGCCGGCTGCAGGCCGAGACCCTGGCTCAAGCCACAGCCAGATCTGGTGCCAAAGCCCAGACCGGGCAGCCCGGGCAGCAGCCTCCCGTCCTCGCCCGTCTTCCAGAGCCCCTGCTCTTCCAAACCAAAGCCACAGCCCGCTGCCTTTGAGCCAGGCAGCCCCCAGCGTTCCACAGCCTCCCCACAGTCTGTGTCCTCATTCCGTCAGCGGTTTGGGGACAGCGGGGGCCCTGGCGTGGCCTCCAGAGATGAGCCAGACAGGGGGGCAACCAAGCTCACCCGAGAGCGAGACTGGGAGGCCACTGAGGTGTCGCCCAAACCCAAGGTGCCATGCTCTCCGGAGACCCGTCGTACCCGTGCCGAGTCCCCCTCAAGCCCCATCTCATCTAAGGTGACGCGTTCCTCGTCCGACTTTGAGATCCGTCCCTCCCCAAAGCCGGACCTCAACCAGATCCCCGATGGGGACACCCAGGCACGGGCCCTTGCAAACCTGCGCCTGCAGTCCCGCTACACCTTCACAGTGATCCCCAAACGCCGGCTGGCTGCCATGCCTGCAACAGGCAGCCAGATGCCGCCTGGCTCGATCAAGTCTTCACCGTCTCACAGAGTGGCAGAGGTGCCAGGAGTGCCAACCTCCATCGCCCCAACACCCAGTCTGACACCATCAAAGAGGAAGGAGGAGAAGGAGCTGGAAGAGGAGATGGAGAGGGTAGTCAGGTTATCCAAGCCTGAACCACCTCCTGCTGTTGCCACAAGTCCTGCACCTCCTCCACCCTCAGAACCTTTATCTCCATCACCTGATCACACCCCAGCTCCCTCCTCTCCTCCTGCCCTGTCCTCACCCCCCTCCTCTGTGGCTGTCCCATCTTCCCCCCCTTTCTCCCCACCCGCCTCATCTCCCGTCTCCTCAGACACTCTCGCCCCCCCTGCCCCCTCCCCGGCTCCAGAACAACCTCCCATGGATCAGCTGCCAGTCACAAATATAGATGACATTGAGGTGGAGCCGCCCCAGCGAGTCCCTGTTCCCAGCCCCATGGTGCAGAGGAGAAAGGGGAACACCTTCACTGTGGTGCCTAAACATAGGGTGGATCCCCAGATGAGCTCACCTGAGCCCCAACAGGAAAGCTCATCTGAGGCCCCGCCGGGGTCCACACCTCCGCAGGCCCCATACGCTCAACTGGGGTCCCTGCTGAAGAAGCGTTACCCTGCTGTGGAGGAGATTGAGGTCATCGGTGGATACCAGTCTCTGGCCAAGTCCTGCCTCTCTAAGATGGGCTCCACGGGCAAGAAGGTGAGAATAAAAACTGAACTGACGTGTTATCCTCTCAACTGTTTTGGTGCTAAATGAATTCATTAGGTCACTTCAGAGCACAAACACAGATTCTTCCAGCTTCTCAGTTGTGAGGATTTACTGATTTTCTCTGTCGGCTGAATATCTTTGTGTTTCCAGACATTTGTTTAATATTTTCTGTCGTTTAAAATACCAGCTGATCACTCAGTCGGTCAAAACAGACGTTCAAGAGACTGATCAATAGCGGAAATAATAATTATTAGCAGCCCTTGTCCTTCAGAGAACACATTAATGCTGCAGCACACAGGCAGTAGTAGTATTGTTGTTTCAGTCTCATGCAGGAGAAGAAGTGCCAAATCCTCCCTGAGGGATCTTTAAAGTTTCCTCTCATCTAAATTTAGTCGTCAGGCGTCGGACAGGAACAGGAACTGTCTATGTTTTCGTTCCATCTCTCACCTGTGCTTTTCAGGCAGCGTATCCATCCACCCGATGGTTAATCCTCTCAGTTATTCCTGAGTGTGCTGCGAGTGTGAGTGTCAGCATCAAATCTCCACACCCCATCACTTGACCCGCTCTCTAGGTTCGATGCCTAAGTGGATTGAAATTGTTCGCACAGCCACTTGGAAACGAAAGGCGGCAGTTTTTTTTTTTCCTGGTAGATTGTCGTCTCACAAAAGCGTGTTATTTGTTGCAGAGTGCATTATTGGGTTAGGCGGCTCCTCCAAGCCTATTGACTGAGCAATCTTATCAAGGCTGTGTTCAGTTCTCAGGCCTGCTCTCACCTGTCACACTTTTTACTTCATCTGTGTTTTTGTACGGAGCTGAGATTTCTTCAGGCCTTCCCCATAATTAAATGATAACACAGTGTGTGTTGGGGCATCACCGTTATCTTCGATCATAATCGGGTATCTGGTGCTTGCTTGGCGAAGGTCTGTCCTTAATTTGCTCCTGTTTCATCCCTATTGGTTGATTAATCAGATATCAGAGAATGTCTCTAATTAATTGTGCGAGTGCTGCAGGCCGGCGCTGCTCTGGATCAGCCTGTGTGTGTGCCGAGCATTATTGCTGCTGTTTAAGTTGCTGACGAAGAGGGAGCCGGTGATTACAGCCAGTGGCTTTAATTTTTACTTTACGTAACAGGTTTTATGGAGCTGGTTTCCATGTTCAGGGTGTGGAGCGTGTAAGCACGGTTGTCGAGTCTGGAACAACACCCGACCTCTCCTGGAGGTTTCACCCCTGTCCCTCTGTTTGTTGGCTGGGTGATTTGTTTGTTTGTCAGCAGGATTATGCAAAAACCACCGAACGGATGTCCCGTTAGAGGTATTAATTAATTTACGACTTTCTTTAACACTGTGAAATAGTGTTTTTGGACTTTTTAACAATTTCTTCAGGAGTAATTTGTGGATCTTGATGAAAGAAATCAGGCCTACTCAGAGGACTGGAGTCATGAGTGTGGGACATTTAGTGCTGGTTGAAATGTTGTTTCATCAGGAGACTGTTGGGCCTTAGTTTGGAGGAGTCGTAACTAGAATGGCACTCAGGGCTCAACATCCCTGATGAAACTACATTTAGATTCACTAAAACATCCAATCACACAAATATAAAGAAACTGAAAAGAAGTTTTGTGATAATCCGTCCAGTACTTTTTCTGTGATGCTGCAAACAAACAAACAAACAAATAAACAGATGAAAACAATTCTTCAAACCCTCCATGTTGGATATCTTGAGCCCTTTTGGCAGCGCCTCAGTCCAGAGACTTTCTAAGGATTGACTGATGGCTAAGTATGTTTTGGCCATCACGGTGATCTTTGCGATCATAATCAGATGCCCGCCACTTTGGTTGGCAAAGGTGCTGCTGCAAATTGCTCCTGTTTCACAGCCTCTGTGATGTTGGCACTCAGTCCGGTTCCCTTGACCGGCTCTGCTGTAATCCTCTGCTCCCCAAGTAAATCTAACGACCTCTTACAACCGGGGCAAGAAACGTGGCCAACTTGAGATTTTATCAAGTGGAAACTCTGCAGCCACTTAGATTTAAGATTCCATTTAATTCATTGGCAGCAGAGAGGAAATAGAGAATAAGTTTCCCAATATTTACATCTTGCAAAGTAAGGTATATTATAAAGTACAGATTTGGTTTTGGGGCAGAATCTCTGGTATTTTCCAAACCGCACTATCCCACAATGTCAATACCCACAGGCTACGTACTGAACATAGGAGGATGCCAAAATGTTTTAATTCCTGCACCATTCCTTTAAAATGGATATTTGTAAATCTCTGCAGTGGAAAGTTTGGGATTTTAAAGAAGTCGTAGATTTTAAGATACAGTCCTGTGGGTTGGTGCGACGCTTGTCTGCACATCATGACTTCACAATGTTGGATATTCAGGTTGCAGACTCGTCCGCGTTAACCGGTTGTGTTGTGCATGTTTTATCGTGTGCACATGTGCATGTAGATTAGCCGTGAGCGTGGCCATGAGACAGGAACACATCTTTGTGTGTCCTTCATGCTCCCAAACAAAACACTTTCTTCTTTTGTTGTCTGTCTGCTCTTCTTGGTCATCATCAAGGCCCAGATTTTTTTTTCCTCCTTTCTTTTCTGGGCAGGGCTGTGCAAGCAATTACAAAAGCATCGAGGCTTTGGCCTGGCCTGTATAATTTGTGTGGAATTTTTGTTCAGTGCCGCTTCTGTGTGAGAGCAGCCTCTGAGAACGGCCTCGGCTCAGGGTTCTGGTCTTGGATCGTTTTTTTTTTTTCTTTCCAGCAAAACCAAACCATTTTTTACGAGTAACTTGGCTGGAAGAGAATGTTCCGTATGCACGTCAGGACCTTGAGAACCGAAGCGGATCATCAGCTCTTTTTCCAAATATATTTTCCTCTGTACCCTCTCTCCATGAGTTCTCAACCCACTCAAGACTTGTGTGAGTGCAGTGTGCTGGACCACATCCAGCACATTTCCTCCTGTACTCATCTGTATCGCTCCACAAGCACCACTCGGCTTTGTGTTTTTTCTCCTCTACCCACAGTGCACTGCTTTATTCCTGCGCGGCGGTGGTTAATAGGGCCTGTCCCCTTGCTTCCAGCTTCCTCTGATCTCCTCCGCTGTATTGGGGTAGGAATTGTGGAAGAGCTATGTAGGTCAAGTGCAGCTTCTTGTAACGCATCACTCCGGCATTTGCATAAAATCGACTCTGGCGTTCTAGTGAAATACAGAGACCAGGACTGACTCTGTCTCCATCTGCACTTTGATTGGATTGGGATCTCTTCACCCTTGCGGTGGATGCGGCCGCTCTTTGTCGAGGAGAGGTGCAGCTGGCAGCGAGGCATGGGGGGGGGGGACAGAGTGGTTTGTTTTTGAAGTCTCTGCTCCCTCTGACTGGTTATTATGGGAAGAGGGAGACAGATCAATGTGGCTGTCAGTGTAACATCCAGAGGGAGAGGGAGAGAGAGAGAGAGAGAGGAGGAAAGAGGAAGAGGTTTTATGGTGCACCCCGCCTTTTCCCAGAGTTCATTTCTGTGTATTTGCACAAAGTAACCTCTCATTTTAAATCGCTGCAGCACATTTATGTGTAATAATGATTCATCCATCAAGATAATGATGAGGTGTGGTAAAGAGGACGTGTGTTTGTCATTGTAAATGATGATTAGTCAGACAAGGGACAATTACTCTGCTGGTAGTTTGACATTGGGTTTGATATTGTGTTTAGTTTCTATTAATCTTAAATTAACAAAAGCCTGTGATTATATTAACTGAACTTAAGGTGCTTTTACTGTTAACCTGTTCGGTGCGGATCAGACAAACTGCGAAAGAGTCAGTTGAACTGAATCTGTGTTTAAGACTCAAATATAATTACAAATTAGCTGTGATGCTGTGATCTTTAGCATATTTTCTGACCATAACCAGTGACTCTACGGCTGATTCAGGGTTTCTCACTGAACCGAGTTGGTTAAAAAAAACCTCAACATTCAGTTTGGTGACTGTGATTCTTGAAAGGCCAGTTGTTGGTCGAGCAGAAAAAGGATAAAGAGAGCAAACGTTTGCGACTCCAAGTCGAAGTATAACGAAGAAAAACCCAACCAGACAAAGAAAACAGTAAAGATCCACTGAAGGCAGCACAATGTGAAGCCCCGCCCATTCATTTACGAGGTTTTGTCTTCGCCCCTGTCTGTTATTGTGTGTTTGTCTTTCAGAGGCATTACACAAAAACTCCTCGACACGTTTCCACCAAACTTGTTGGAAGGATGGAAAATGGGCCAAGAGAGAATCCAAAAAGTTTTTTTGGGGGACATTTCAGGCCTTTTTGTATGAAGGGCACTGATATCTGAGTGTGTGCAGTTGCAAGTTGTGTCTTTGCGGTTGTGTGCGTTTACTATTTTCTGTGTGACACAAGAAAATTGCCTTACAAGGCGTTGTGGGATTACGGGTGACATGGGAATGGCCTGTGATGCAATAGCACGGGCGGGTCAGGATCAGGTGAATCTTAACCTTTGGCGGATGAACGTCTGAGGAGGAGATCATTATTGTGCTGTGTGACGTCCAAACAAGGGAATGTTTTCTGACTTCTGTCTGTTCTATTAATAAAACCAGTAGAATCACTGTGGACGCGGCTGCAGATCCACCAGCGTTTTAATGCTATGAAACACTATTGACTCGTCACACAAAGACCATCCTGGTGGTTGAACTGGTACCTGAACACATCAGATAGGTTTGTGGGGGTGTGCAGGGAAAAATAGCTGTAATGAAATCATAATAATGAAATTATGAATCGTGACTGATGACCATGTCCACATGTAAATGGATCATAAGAACACGGACACACTTAGCCAGGATTTTCCCTGGTGCATCGGAGAGTGAGCCAAATTGCAGTCTGAACTAATAATCAGTTAATACGAAAGGAGCTAATCAGTTATTGTCATTTAATGGTGCAGATAGCGCTTATGATTCAACATGGTCCCATCAAAACGAAAGGGCATTAGTTTAAAATGTTTTAGTTTTGCGTGGAT